TAAGCTCAACTAAACCCAAACCAGTTCTCAATATGATTTAATACAGACAACAGTGAGGCCTTTAGAACCTAAATCCTAAAGCCTCCATGCATCCTCCTGTTCTAGTGTCCACATGTGCTAATGCCGCCTCTTTCTGTCTCCGGTTCCTAAAATTTCTGCACTTCTGACTTCTGTCATCTGTGACTTGGTTGGAAATGCAGATGCTGCTACTGACATTAACTCCAGCGTCCAGGAAGCCGCGGCGGCGTGACAGCGAGCCAGCACGCAGGATTATTATCGATCCACATCTACGTTTTCTTATTGTGACATTTGACACCGAAAGAGGCCCAGAAATTTCCCGGCATATCTGCTCTTCCCTCCCTGTTCTCGGCGTTTTCTCAGCTCTTATGATCTGACCTCCACACCGACTCCATGTTTTCTTTGGTCCTTAAACCCTTTAGACCTCAAACCTGCCAGTGGGCGCGAAAAGCATGTTATCTTTTTTTTTTAAATCGCCCAAATTTCACCATTTATCAGAGCCAGAGCTGTTAAATTTTCAACTTTTTGGCATTTTTTGAAGTAATGATTTGCTTCATCAGAACAAAATCACAGCTTAAAATCGGGATATTTCCTCAGAGGTGCTTTATTCTACATTTAAATTAATGCTAAAAATAAACTCTGCGCATTGACCAGAGTCTGTAATAAACTCAAAGTTCTGCTCTTATCGCATGACAACATCTGAACTTGTTGGCAGGACTCGGACTGGACTGCAGGATGTGTTTACACGGAGTAAATAAGGGACAAATATGTAAACAAATTCAGTCTCAAAGTCGTAAAACATCCACAGTACGTAGCTTTTTTCCCAGGGTTGGTAACAGCTGTGGGCACTTGGTAAAATATCACACACGTCGATTGCAGGTTTTTCTAATTTTTGTAAATGAAATAAGAAACTAACTTTTTCTTTTTTTGATTCATGGCATTGTGACTTTGTCGTACTGCACAAAAGACATTTCTGAGCTCTCTCTGCCTCTAGTCATGCTTGTGCTGTTTCCATAGAGGTGCAGGACTTGATACTGCAGTAAAAAAAAAAAAAAAGAGCTCACAGTGAGTAAAAATATGACAGAAGCAAAAAAAAACCCAAAAACCCAGAAACTGCTTGCGGTTCAGAGTTAAATTTACTCGGCTTTAATGCGCCTTTATGCTCACAGACGCCCGCTAATAGGACGTGCTGAGTAATGTTTGTTTTCTTCCATGTTGCACTATCAATATTAATGCATAATTGGCACCATTAAAAGTGTGCTGAATTCGCTATTAGCCTCTGTTTGCTGCACACCCGCGGATGTAGGAACAACTATCACTGGATTACTTATGAAAAATTTAAAACGTGATGATGTTCTGAGGCGAGCTCCGTGGCCCTGCTCTCCCCCGTTAGGAAGCTCTAATGTGAGCGTCTCTAACGAACACATCAATGCCGACATTCGCTGCCCAGAAAATGAATGTTAATTCCACTGCAGTGCCGCCCACCAGCTGGAATCACGCAAACACCGTGGAGTGAAAATCACGTCGATCTTCTGACCCAAAGAATTAATGTTCTGCGAGGAGTCAGAATCACAGCTGAACCGTCTCGCTGTGCTAAACTCACTGCAGGAGAGAGTGCAGCTCGTGACTTCAGAGCATCCTGCTCGTCTTCAGTCGATGCAACACAGATCCAGCACCAGGATTCCTAATGGTCCTCGTCTGCGTAACTGCTTGGAAACCAACGCAAACATACGCACATGAATGCAAACTGTTGTTAAACTTCTCAATTAGTTTCAGAACCCTGCAGAGAACACCGAATGTTTACCATCTTAAACTCGCTCTCATGTGCAAGTAGAAATGAATGAGGTGTCGCTTCTTTCTTACTGCTGCACCTCACACACACACACACACACACACACACATCTACACCTCACACATACACACCTACACACACACACACATCTACACACACGCTGCCGCCTGATGAGTGAAGTCATGTGTTTCTGCTTCATCACAGCCAGCACCTCCTTCAGCTATTTTATTTTCACCTGTGTTTACACACTGGAAAGTTGCTGAGCGTGTACATACACTTTACCTCAAAGCACCTTTAATTCTCTCCCCTTAAATTACACAAATCCACCCAGAACAAGCTGCTGCTGCTGCTGCTGCTGAAGCCACACAGCGGCTCCACTGCAGCAGCGGGGGGTTAACTTTCTCGCCCAGGGGGCCCTTAGGGGCAGGAGAGAGTATTTCACTTACTGTCAATGCTCTGGTAGTGGAGCATTACACAGTAGGCAGAGCAGAACCTTCTCGCTGGCTGATGGCTGCTGCTCAATTGATAGTTGGCTGTAATTTTATTAAAGCTTATAAATCGCGAAAAAGTGAGTTAGAAAGAAAAATCCCAAAATACGTGACGCTTCCGGCGCACAGTGGGAATCATTTTATGCTTTTTGGGGATTTTCCACAAACAAAACGTGTAATTTTAAGATGCTACCGCAGTCCTTAGACGCTGCGATGAGCCTTTTTCACTATTTAACATGTTTCCCATTCAATAAACCCAAAGAACAAGATAACCTGCACAAAAAAAGCCACGTCCAGCTGCAGCTTAACTGCAAATTCAGCAAGTCGGTCCTAAGCCTCAACTTTGACATCTTATTGCTCACACACACATACCAGCAAATATCAGTACACACACACACACACACACACACACACACACACACACACACACAGAGTAACGCACTGCCAAATGCAGCTCAGTTCTTTAACGCTCCCTCCGTTTATCCTCACTCATCTGTGTCCTGCTCAGCATCCTCTCTCCTCTGTGTGTGTGCGCATGTGTGAGCACATGTGTGTCCTTGAAGTGGCCCACTTCTCCCGCCACCGCCGCCGCCGCCGCCGCTCCGCACGCCTTTGCCGAAGCAGCTTTTCTTGGTTTCACAAATAAAAACTTGGCGTCCTTGACTTTGTCTTTTCATCTCTCCTTGCCTTGCCTCTTTTATCTTTCATCCTTCCTCTCCTCACGAGCGCCCTTTCTGTCTTTCTTTCTTTTTTTCCTCCTCTTACCTTGCTGGACTCTTTAGTTCCTCTCTTCCTCCCAGCAGTGTCCCCTTTAGTCTTCTCCTCTGTTTTCTCATACTGTATACTCCTCATCCCTCTTTCTTCTCTTCTCCTCCTTCAGCAACTTTTCCTCTTCGCATCCGACCCTCCGCTCAGCTCGACTCTCCCTAAGCTTCTGCCCCGTCGCCCTCCCTCCCTCCTCGGCTTACTCCAACCTCGCTCCCTTCTTCCTCTTTTCTCTCCCTCGCCCTCCCTCTCTCTCTCTTTCAAGCCAGTAGTCGAGAGGCATTTATGTGTGTGTAGGTATGTTTGTGCCAGCTGGAAGTCTTGGGAGGAGGGAAGAGAGTCTTTGTGTGTGTGTTGAAGAGAGAAAGAAGATGAAGATGCAGCAGCAGCAGCAGCAGCAGCAGTGCAGTGTGAGCATCTCCACACACGGACTGGACGTCCACGCCACCGAGGACAGACAGCCGCCGCTGCCAAAGCCCACCGAAACACGCAAACACCCGTTAATATGGTGCTAATCTCATCCCTGTCACGCTTTAATAGCAATTTACTGCAGTGTGAGGGTGGAGGAGGGTGGAGGGGGGGAGGCTGGTGAATTGTGGGTGCATGAAAATGTGCATTTAGTGCAAATCACACACGACGTCTTCATCAAGCAGCTTCTGAGCGTTTTTACTCGCTGTCATGTAAAGTTGTGCACCTCTATGGAAACAGCAGCACAGTTAGAAAACCATGACTCATTCAAAAAAGAAGCCATGACGTGCAAACTTCCTCGATTGTGGGTTTTAATCAACATGCACAACATGTTTCCGTGGCTCCAACAGGTGTTACTAACGCTCTACAGCCTCTACATGCTGTAAAGATGCCATGTTTTTAATCAGTTTTTATACCTTTCCTATCTGCACTGAGTAAACACGGCCTGCAGTTCAGCCTAATTCAACCAAAAAGTCCCTTATCCATTTATCTGATGGTTACAGCTGAGTCCTGTTTTGCAAAGAAGTGCAAAAACATTCAGTTGTTTGCAGCATCTGGTCGACGAAAACTGTTTATTTTTGATGAATTTTTAAAAGCGTTGATGAAATATCACAATTTGAAGCTGAGATTTGGTTCGTTTTCCCGACAGAACTGCACGAGTGGTTCAAAAAAACAAAAAAAACATGGGAAAGCTGATGATTTTTAGCTGTTTTTACAGTTAGGAGCTCTGATATTTGTTGTAATCTTGGTGAGATTTAAAAGAAAACATGCTTTCCAAACCAGCAGCTTTTATAATAGGAAGTGAGAGCTACCTTAGTCGGCAATAACACACAAGCACAAACTCTAAAACTTTTAAAATTTCTCAGTAAGTACTATGAAGACGATTGTCCCGGCTGTATTTCTATCATGGCATAAAGTGTCTGGACAGTGACCTACTTCTTTATCGTATTGTATGAAGGTGTTTACATCCATAATACATCACGAGTGTAAAAACTGCAGCCGTTTTTGCATCTCAATGTTTTAGGGAAAAGTAAGCGGCAAAGCAAACAGCGACAGAAAGCCTAATCAAGTCCCTATATTTCATATTTTTACCACCAAAGCCTCACAGACAGCATTTCTAGGCTGCAGCAACACGTTCCAGGCGCTTCCTAACCTGGTCTTCAGCAAGCGTGGGCTCATAAAATCACAAAATTGTCTCCAAATACTGCAGATATTTTAGAAGTAAACAAAACTGCCAATAAAAAGCTTTGAATTAAGAGTGTGATGCTTTCCTTCCATGCTTCGGGTAAACACACCCGATATAAGCTAAAAAACAAATTAGTGACCCGAGTGGGTGGACTGAGATCAGGTGACCAACTCGTCCAGCCAAGACCGCGACACGGACCTCAAAATGTCAGCGAAATGAAAAACATGTTAGTCCCCTAATGCTGTCTGATTGCGCTGAATTCATGTGCGCCGATCCAACTGACCTGCAGAGCGCTGTTGAGGAAGCAGCTGTTCTGTCCCGGCTCGTTGCTCAGGCCTTTGCTGGGTGCGATGGAGGTCATGGTTCTCGGGGTCACCAGCCCCTGCACCCCGCCTGCTGCTCCACCGCCTGACGCAAAGTAGTTCCTCTTCCACGACATCACTACCTGGACGCCCCTGTTTCCACGGCGAGGCGGAGAAGGGGCGGGGCAGCAGACCGGGCGACGGCCTCTATGTCACTCCCATGAGAGAGAACGAGGGAGAATGAGGGAAGAGCGGCGGAGGAGGACGGGGAGATGGAAGGAGGACGAGGAGAGAGGCGGCAGCCGTAGATTGAGAAGATGCGGTGTGTCTCGGAGGGGGATTTGGCAACCATACAATCCTCCCCCTCTCCAGCCGTGTTTTTACTTTAAAATCTGTCCACTTGGAACAGCCAGCGGTTGGCTTTTTTGTCTTTCTGTTTTTAGCTCCTTGGATTTAGCAGTTTGTGTCTGAAGACATGAGAGCGTTTCCAAAGCGTCCTTTGGCAGATTCTGTCAGATAAAAGTGGATTAGACAGCACTGTTGCTCCCATGTGGGGACTCCTTCGATGCTTTCTTCTCTTCTTTCACTTCGCCTGCAAGACACAAAGACCAACCTGTTAGGATTACGCACACAAAGCAACGAGCAACAAACACACTCAGCTGGTTTATACCAACAGGTACAACAGAGGTACTAAAAGCCCCCCAAAAAAACACAGGTTTTGAGCTGTTATTGTATATACACCGTATGATGTATTGTGAATTCATAAATATAAGACAACCAGAGTTCTCGTTTAGATTCTTTTCATCCATGAGGTCCCGTCAGTTCTAACTGAATGAGTCTCGGGTAGTTATCGTCACCACCGACTGACGCAGCTCATGGCTCATTAACAACCCAAGACTCAGATGCCTCAACATGTGAATGGTTGTGAAACTGTCAGGTGGGAAACCGAAATCAACACGAGCTACATCTGAGACACATGGAGGACATGGAGGCAAGACTGGGATGTTTGTAGTCAAATCGATGAAAGTTCAGTGTTGTTTTTTTATTGTGGACTTATCATGTTTGGTTTTATTCTTGTATATTTTGAAAACTCTTGTATGAGTCAAGATGTTATTGGTGGTGGAATTTTCTCTAGAGGGATCTCAAGACTGCATCCTAAGTACCTGATAAGTTGAGAGATTGTTGTTCTAGTTTAACATACAAACAGGGAAGGGGGTCCATGACACCACTTATCAGGTACTTACAATGCAGTCTGGAGATCTTGCTTTAGAAAGTTTGAACATCTTACATCACCCCTCACCTGGCAGTTTCCACACCTGAAGGCATGTGAGTCTAACGGTGGTGACAGATCTCAAGACTGTATTATAAGTACCGGATAAGCTTAGACAGAGTTGTTTCAGTTTACAAGGAGGCAGTCGACGACACCATTTATCAGGTACTGAACGCAATCTTGAGAAAGTTTCACCACCATAAACCATTAATAATGAATAAGATTTAGGGGTGACAATACATATCTGGGACTCAATATCAGTCAAACAGAACTGAAGAAGCCTCTTGGATGAAAGGTGGAACATGTTCAAGGACCAAAAAGGGCAGTTTGGTCGCTCTGACCAGGATGACCGAGAATCTACACAGACATATTGAGATGGTTCATTGAAAGGACTAGACGTTGCAGTCCCTGGTGTTTGCACCACTTTTGATTGGGAGTTCTTGACAGATGGCTGCTATGTAGCTTTACCAGCCGTATAAGCTTTGGGAGGAAATGTTGGTTATCCCATTGATATTAATAGTGACATACGGGGGACTTCAAGCAAATAAAAGTTGATAGATAATGCTCAGCTGGTGGAGACTGAGGTCAGAGTTCAGTGGTTGCATTATTGCACTTGGTGATCCTAAAAGTGTGGTTGACTTACAATAGGGTACGAGAACATAAGCAATGACTTACAGATACTCATAGCACTGCTTTGCCAAAAATCTAGGCACACCAATACTGAACCAGTCGTAATTCATTATTATTATATGCAATGTGAAAGGGTCACTAATAGCCAAACTGCAGCTTTATGTCTTTAAGCTTTTGTTTCAAACCCTGTTACCTTCTGATCACCAGCCGCAACAAACAGGAAGCAAAGTCAGCATCTACCTAAAGATAGTTGAGCATTTAGCAGCTAAAGGGACAGAATTCACTGAGTTGGTGGAGACCCAAAACAGAGCTAAAAGGAGAGTGAATATTTGATTTTTACAGGTTGACAGAAACACGACTCCAAAGGAACATCGCTCCCCGTCTGCTGCATGTCTGTACACAACTGATGGCCCATATTAGCAGCTGTAACACCTTTTAAAGTTGTTAATGTGGTGGTAGGGTGTCTGGATGATTTGCTGCCACCCAGTGGCCTAAAATCAACTGCAGCATCTTTAAATGTAAACATGTCATGCAATGAACCACAACAATGTCAACGAGGGTAACATTGCATCAGCGACATGACACAGGAAACGCTCAGAGAAATCTGTTATGTCATTTCATAATCAGTACTTAGGGGGACATTATCTGGAGCTTATGCCGGTTCAAGAACTACTATGCTGCTTCTGAATGTGTGTATGAGATGATAAAAAAACAAAAAAAGAGGCAGTCTGTGTGTGTGTGTGTTTGTCACCCTACAATATCTTTGCGTGGGTGTGTGTACATGAAGTTGCATAACACCACAGGGCAGTAGCTAGCAGATCCGCAGTGCCCCCTCCCTCCTTCCCTCCTATAGTTTCCCCCACTTTTGGCATAGCTCCCTCGCCTGATTGCCGGGTTGCGTTACCGCCACAGCACACACCCCCCGCTTGGAGAAAGGCCAGAGGGCGCGGGGATGCTGCGGCGAGCAGGTGAGCAGCGTGGGCTGTCGCTATGGTGATCGCCACATGGGACGGGGCGGCGCGATGGGGTGATGAGGGGGTGGGATGGAGGTACAGCGGGGAGAAGGGGGGGGGCATCGTGACGAGGGATGGCGAGTGAAATGCATCAGAGCAAATGTGGAAGGAAACATTATGCAACTGTTAGGCGTTGCAATGTCACTTCATGCACTCGTCACACAGTCCGACTGACAAACCTATCGGCCCATCTATCACATATACGTTCATCCGGTAACAAACAAATCCAAATTGCCAGAGGATTTATAAAGGGATTTGGCTGGCATGGCCCTGTGTGCCATTTTTCCTCCACAGCACAGCATCCTGAGCTTCTGTCTCAGCATACAGTGTGCGTATGTGTGTGTGTGTGTGTGTGTGTGTGTGTGTGTGTCTCCCGCTGAGCCTGTGTGGAGTGTGTGATCACACATCCTCTCTCCGACTGCACCCTACAGCCACACACAACCGAGAAATAGCGCTCTGGCAAACCTTCGCACAAGCGCTGTTTATGTGGCGTGTGTGTGTGTGTGTGTGCGCATACGTACCCGTGTGTGTCCCCACATCTTCGGCTAGTTACCATGGAAATAGGCCAAGCAGCAGGCACGCGGGGGAAAAGCCGAACCATGTGATTTAACAGAGAGACACACTGTGCTGCACTGGTTGAGGAAGGAGGGGGAAAAAAAAAAAAAGCAAAAAAACAAAAAAGCGCACAACAAACACGCCTGCACTCGCGCACGGCGCTGGCGAGTGGTGATGATGATGATGTGTATTGATGGTGGAGACTTCCTGGAAGCCAGAGTGAGTCAAGGCACAAGTCAATCAAACTCCCTGACCCCGCGCTGGCAGACATAAGGAGACCAGGAACCTGTGGATGCAGCCATGACGGCGTTCACACATGGAACAGATTTTCCACGTGGAGGTGAGGACGCTGGCTGTACGTCCAGACGCTCGGTGGGCTGTGTGGCCTCGTCTTGTGACCTCGTGGAAATCAGCTCGGCTCTGAGGAGGAGGCAAGCGAGCGCTCGACTTCTTCAGCAGTCAAGTTCTGAGATCTCCGCCACGGTTAAGGGGACCGGAATTAATAGAAACGTGTCGTCTGATTATGCTGCATAATCCACAGACATCTGCGTCAACAGTTTCTAATGGATCTACTTTGTGCTTAAGAAATAATCGATGAAAACTATCGACTGCATGTGACTCACTTTTCCAAACTGTGAACAGCACGACTAAAACTCCATTAGGCACCATTTTAGAGGCGCGGAGAACGAAGCATTAACAACCTGCCCAAAACCTGGACACATAAATCCACCATGTATTCATTTATCTGCATGGTTGAACACTTATGAGGCATCAGCTTTTTAGTAGTTTTGTTGGACTGAGACTTCACCGGGTGCCTCGTCTTCGTTGGCTAACATCACGCAAATGATTTAAAAGTTTACTACATGCGTCAAGATATGAGAAATATACAATTCTGTAAAGGAAAGATGCAGCAATTCTAACTTCAGTGACGAGAAAAATCAGTCTTTTGTGACGCAGTTTGGTTTGTGTAGTAACTCAACTCCTTAGTGACACCACAAACTACAGCCTCAAAGTTAACATAAAGTCGTACCAGCCGTTAAAGGAAAAGTTTGGAGATAACAGAATGCACATATACTGAATTTAGAGCTCCACTGCTGTCCACAATCTATTAAAACACATACTGATGAAGATGGACACTTTGGTTTATTGATGCAGATGCCACCCTGCTGGCAAAAACACTCAACCAAAAAAAAAAAAATCCACCGCTGAAAGTAGTGCCTGACAAAATCGCTCATTTGCTTCTGTTTTGGTGAGATTTTCTGAAAAATACAGCTTTTTTAGGAAATTGCCTTTAAAAACACCAATCAGCATTAAAACCAACTGACTGATATTGTGTGGGCCTTCCTGCTGCTGCCAGAACAGTTCTGACCCATCCAGAAATGGACACTCATGATCTCCAAAGGTGTCCTGTGGTATTGTTAAGATGTTAGCAGCAGATCCTCTAAGTCCTGTAAGATGTGAGGCGGGGTCTAAGTGTTTTTTTTTAGCCCATCTCACAGAAACCTGGGGAAACACCTTGACCTCTGCTGTGTTCCTCAAACCATTCCTGTGTGGCAGAGAGTATTATCCACCTAAAAGCAGCCTTCAGGGAATATTGTTGGCATGAAAGGATGTACGCGGTCTGCAGCAAAGTCAAGACAAGCGGTACGAGTCACAATAACATCCACATGAATGCAGGACCAAAGATTTCCCAGCAGAGCATCACTCTCCCTCCACCGGCTCACCTTCTAGCCATAGTACATCCTGCTGCCATCCCTTCTCCAGGTAAATGACGCATACGCATGATGTAAAGGAAAACATGATTCATCCGACCCGGTCACCTTCTTCCATCACTTTATGGTCCAGTTCTGCACTCACGTGGACAGGAGTCAGCAGCGTGGACACTGTGACTGTTCTGCGGCTTCGCGGCCTCGTACACAGCAAGCTGTGAAGCTCTGTGTGTTCTGACACCTCTCTATCATAGCCAGGATTATGGTTTTCAGCGATTTGTGCAGCAGCTCTTCTGTGGGATCAGACCGCACAGGGCGGCATTCACTTCCTGCACGCATCGATGAGCTTTGGGCACCCATTGACCCTTTCGCCGGTTCACCTGTTGTCTGCCATGGACCACTTTTCATCGCCGTT